AAAAAATTAAATAATGTTAAAAAAATTAAAATAAAAATAATTAAGGTGTATTATAAAAAATAGTTCTGAATAGCATTATAGAATTAATGTCAACTACAATTAAAAACTAATTAGTGAAAGTTAAAAAAAAAATGGCGGAAATGACTCACTTCAAAATATGGGCTACAAGCTGAAAGGACGACTTTGTGAGCATTTAAAAATTTGCCCTCGGCAGCCAATGTGCAGTCTACTAGCGTTCCATTTTCTAATAATGTGTCGAATACAGCAACCAAAGTTGACTGATGATTATTCCATCGTAGACAGAACTGTTGATCGTCGTCCATCTTTCTATAAAACGGAAGAGAAAATCGTTAAAGTCGCTTTTCGGAGAATTACAACGACGCGAAGATGGCGCGCACAAAAATCAATAAAGAAAGCTATGCCTGGGAGCTTACAAGCTCTGGGATAATAAAGGATGGAGCGATGGTGGTGGGGTGGTGGAAAACGGGTAACGGCTTTGCTATGGCATAATGGCGGCTTTTCCAGGCCAAACTGGAAAAATGGCGTGGCGTCGTTGTTTCACAGAAAAAAAAATTGGTATTATCCAATTCAGTCACTTAATCGAACGGAAAATATAACAAATCGCACATTCACGAACGGACCTAATTTTTTAAATGATAAATTATTCGAAAGCTCACTATAATGCCTGAAAATGCAAAAGCTCCACCCGACCGGTTAACTACCAACGCTTCAAGAGTTTAAAAACCGTGTAAATTTCAGATAAATAATTTTAAAAATAATTAGGAAGTATATTTACCTGTTTGGCACTAATATTATATCACAATATTTAAACTTAAATCACTTAAATAAATAAGTTATTATATTCAGTTCGACAGCCAGTGCGCTTTCTGCTTTCCTCTCTCGAAGTTTCAAGGTAACTACGATGGGCTGGTAACAAACAGGCTTTTCGGGCTTGCACAGAATTGCGATAGCTACTGCACGAAGCACCTATGACGCGTTAAAAGCTGCGCAAACGTATCAAATTGGTTAACTGCGACGTTTCGCGGCAGATGTTTCATATATTAACCAATCGCGTAGCCAGCTTTCAGCCCCGTTTGGTAAAACGAAAATTTTGTGAGTTTTGCTTCGTGCAAGTTCCATCGCCTGATCACAACTCTGAAGTAGATGTGGATACAAGAGAGAGAGAATGGTGAAAACTTAAAAGAGAGAGCATTAGAGATGAAAGAGAGAACGAATTTGATCCACAACAAAATAGTGACTCTGTCTTTTCTAATCGTACAGTCTGTTTTCCACTGTCGTCTTGGTTCTATTTCATTTTCCGCGTTCTATCCCAGATAAAATTTGCATGTTTATTTTGTGACATCTGTTTTTTCCACATTGGCAGAACAGGTAAGAATCCTGTTAATGCCTTGAATATTAATTTAATATTTCTTCGTTAGCTTTTACATTTCCGTAACTTTTTTATGTCAATTTGCAACTTTAATAAGACAACAACTGTACTGTCCCAGTTTTATTTTGACAAGGATGCCTTTCTTATATACATAAACATTAAACATCATGTGTTGCCTATGAACTATCTCTACCTTCTAACATTATAAGTGTATAAATTTTAATTAGTGCTTTTTCGACTTTTGCGTGTTTGCAATTCTCCACTAATTTCCACATTTTATTTCTTCCATTCGAGAATTACAATGGCAAACAAATATAAAATGCATGTAAACAAATCTAACCATATTGGTAAGAGTGAAAGTAATGAAGGAAAATTGACAGAGGAACACAGTTATATCTCTACTTACATACAATACACATGTGTATGTAAATATGCTCTCATTTAATAGCAAATAGGTACTAATTTATCTACATTCTCAAGCGGAATAAAAGTCTTATCGAAAAAAATGTGTTACTATCTAGCTATATGCATTCTTAAAATGCCACATCTTTTAAGGCGAAACGCTTTCTTTATTTCATCTATTAATTTTATTATCTTCCATACGAAGAAAATTAAATCTATTTAAACCAAAAGCTGCACAAAATATGCTATTATTCCAAAAACCTCTTTTCCACCTGCTATGCATGAGTCAACAGTTGAAATAATAATTAAAAATCTGTAGTCCTGTTTTGTGATAGCTTCACAAACACCATAAAGTTTTTTCATATTTAAATTGTAACAATAAACGTGATTGGTTAGATGTAGAAGTTTGATTAATGTGATTCGTGCTAGCAACATTGTGTCCATGGCGACGTACCTACTCGTTTCAATACTATTGGTTAAGTAGTTGCCGCCAATATGGCTATTATAAAATCAAAGCAGTTTTTTATCAGTTGATGTTACACAAAAACTAGGAAGTCAATACACATAATATTTGTTATTTGATAAGGTGGCAAATAACAACGCTTTTGAGGTGTTTGTTGTTGCAGTCTTAGTTTAAAATATCAACTCAGAATTTGATGGAAAACATGACACCATAGGTGTTGTATTATATATTTTACATGTAAACATCTGTCATACACTTTCATTGCTACACAAACTGATTTGATACTAATACATACAATACCAATAAAATATATCCGTTTTATTTCAAATATAAAATAAAACAATTTTGTCATATTTAAATTTACAATATCTAGGAAAGTACAGTAAGCTTCAAAAGGAGTATGATAATAAATAATCAAACATAAAATGATTATTTGCTTTGGGATTTATTTAAGTAAGGTGGATTTTGCAATAATTTAATTTCGAAAAAATTATGGTCAGTGAAACAAAGAAAAATAATTATTATTGTAAATGAAATTAACAAAAATCGCGTTATAAAGTTTCAGAAAGGATTAATAATAAATACTAACATTGTTTCGATTTTCACTGATTAGATCTTTGTCAAGTACGTACCATTTCCATGTAAGGACTCTTTACCTAATCAGTAGCTTGTGAGAAACCATCATAGAAAAAAAATTAAAATTTAAAAAATTGAAGTGCTATCAGATCATTCTTATTATTAATTGTAAGTACTCATTAAGAACGTATATTAATCAAATGTGATTTTAATGATTCCTTAAAGTCAATCATACCATAAAGATTCATCTAAAAATTTTTGGAATTGGCTTAAATAAGCACTTCTAGAAAATGCTGGTTTCCGAGTAGTACCTACAGGACAGGTACAAATTGTTCGTGTACCATCTTTTCTTGTACGTGAACCACCAGGTAGTTAGTCAAGCAATATTCGAATAATGAAAGGAGACCGTTGAAGACTTTGGAGCGTGAAAGCAGTGTAGGAAAGCAAAAACGAGCCAGGCCAAGCCCGTTGCTTTCTTGCTTGCTTGCTACAATGAATAGACGAGAAAATAGCTTGAAATAAAAATCAATACCGGCAAAGAAAATAAAAAGAGCCAAAGAAAAGAACGAGAAAAGGATAAAAGAAAGGACGTAAAGAAGGAAAAAGTTGCACAGCAACGACGAAAACCAAAACCTGAATTAATTTTCTCTTTTAACAAATGCAGCGAGGTACCTTCAAATATTAATGACAATCACAATAAATTGTTTCTTTTACATATTCGTATTAACAGTAATTTTAATACACTAATTCACAAAATATACACTAGTAAATTGAGGACCTAACACAGAAATATTCCACTGTATGCAGTCGTCAAAAGGCTTAAAAGAATGCGACGTGGTACAGGAAAATCCGTACAAATAGTTTCAGCCATCTTATCGTATAAGTAATAAAGTAATCTAAGTCTAATAACGAAATTTAGAGCTTTTTCCGAGTTTTACACCTTATTCAAAATAGTTTAAGTGTTCATTTAATTTAGGATAATAATATTTGGAGAAGTAGATGATATATTTAGGTAGACATGATTGAAAAAGCTTATTCAACACACTCATCATGTATTTTCCATTGATTTGATAAAGTCAATATACGTATTGTATGTATATACGTGAGGCATCCATTCCACAAAACGAGAAATTAATTAAAAAAATAAATAACTGAATAAATAAAAATTACCAAATGAATTTTACCAGTTAATGTAATTTAAATCGAGAATCTCGGTTGTTGTTTGTTTAGTTACACAAACGTGTTAAAATTTAAAAGAATATCGTCTGGTTTGCTGATAGTATTCGTTTATATTGCAGTACAAATTGATAAGGAAATGACAGGGCAACACTACTGTTTACGATGGAACAATTACCAAAGTAACATGACCTCAGTGTTTCACCAGCTCCTACAAAACGAAGCATTCGTTGATGTTACCTTAGCATGTAAGGATTTGTCTCTTAAAGCTCACAAAGTAAGTTTCGTTTGGAAAAAAAAAGATGTAGAAATTGTAACGAAAAAAATAGTAGATGTGTAGCTACTACTTTCTTCAGGTGTTTCCTTAGGAAATATTCCAATTTTTTAATGCATAATTCCAAGTTTTTTCAATTATTTAGTTTTTTTGAATAAATCTTATATTTCTTTATAATTCTGTTTTGAATTCAAATTTTCTGTGTGAAC